AGAACTGTAGCTCTCCGAAAAAATATATATTGATAGACCTGAGATAATGCGGGTATGGCTATGAATTTTTTATGAAATATTGTTTGAAGTATTACTTATCAAAAGAACACTAATATGCAGACATACACGATTGGAAATCTACCAATTTGACCTTATCAGTGATTGATGAATATGCTCTAAATAATAAGTCTGAAATATCTGGCATTTTTCAGTTGTTTTTTTTTAATATTTTCTGTGCCAGGAAAACGTCAGAACCAGCGCCATTACGAAAACTGGAAATTTCGTCATTTCCAGTCAGAGTTGATTTCCCATACCTGGGAACCGCATTAAATGCCGTTGTTACAATTTATCAATGGCACAATGCTTTTAGTACTTGACAATTTCAATGAAAAGAAAATAATCACTCATCATTTCGATACAGGACTTGTATATTTTTTTTAATTTGTAAACGCACGAAATGAAAACAAATCTCGACAGTCAGAGAAAACGTTTCCATCGGATCATGGATAATATATTTACAAACAAACCATAAAAACTATATTGGTAAGTACTAGAGGCATTGTACTACTGATAAATTGTGAGTTTGACAAGTAATTGCAAGTATCGAAAATACACCCGAGAATGCCGCCTCTGCTTGGAATTCCCAGTTTTCATAAAGGCGCCGGTTATGGCGTTTTCCTCGCACATAAAATATAGAAATAGTTAAAAAGCCAGGAAAACGTCAGATATTTCGGACTATATATAGTACTTTTCAGTCACCTACAAACTCTTGATGCTGTCATGTCCTCTGTAACCGCACAAGACCTGCTTTATACATATTTACATGGTGTTTTTCTTCTCCGACTTCTGCTGCAACAGCAACTTTCTGTTCTTTGTCAGCAGGAGAGTTCCACAAAAGGGAGATAATCGTTCACGCGTTTTCATATTTGTGGTACATTCTAAATTAAATTATTTGCTATAGAGTACCCAACTACCATTTTTTATTATTGGATTCATAACTTCAAAGCTCGTAGTTTCTATTGCATGTATGATTATGATAGAGTTTGGTTGCGTTTTCGTGTAAAATATTTATAAAAATCATGTTGATTTTACAGCATTTGGTAGAAACAAAGCAAAGTAGGCCCCAATGCTTTAAAATAAACATGGGAAAAATTAAATCTTCCATATATATTGAAATTAAGAAAAACATAGTTTGATTCTGTAATTAATTTTGACAGGGTTATCAATAATCAAATTTCACACTTTTCAAGCATTAAAATCACCGTTGCTATGGTAACAGAACCGCTATATAATTTACTTTAAAAATCAGATAAGGAAGATGTGACCCAAATAACTCATGTTTGAAGGGACATTCATCTATACTTCCATGCACCCAAATATTAAAGCAAAATATTTTTTTTCACATTCCACTCACTTTATATACAATACTCAATGGTTACTGACACGGCCTCTTAACAATTTGCAACACCATATTGTTAAATTATGATCATACATTTTTATGTTACGTAACAAGGGGCCACCAGGGGCCAAAATGCAAAATCATTTGATTCTTTATACCTCTAAAGGGAGAAAAATTTTGATAAGTAGTATTGAATAAAAGATGTTCAGAATCGTATTCTAAACAATATACAACAATTCAAATTTCTCAAAACGGCCCCATTAAGGACTTGAAGGGCTGGCCCCTATATATTTCTATTCTACATAACGAAAAGAAATTTCTTAATAGTTGTTGAACAAAAATAAAATCTTTCAAATATGGAAATTTATTAGTTGATATGAAGGTAAATGGTGTGACCCCTTAAATTAAGGGCCCAGAAGAGCCAAGAAACTTTCATTTATAGGCTTTTTTAAATGTTATATTAATCAAAAAATTAAATCACATGAGAGAAGTCTTATTATTATAATGTTTTAACAAAAATCATAGTCAAAATCATATCTCATCTTATCGAAAAATCGGACGGAAGACCTTCTCGTTGCTCGCAACGAGATCGCATCTAGTTTTTTTTTCTATCATTGGCATGAATTTTAGTTTTCACACTCCTATAGCATATAAACATTATTTAAAGTATTTACATAATTATTTACGCTTTCACATTATCCAAAATGATACAAAAAATATACCTGAAATTTGAATTTATAGAAGAGAGAGAGAGAGAGAGAGAGAGAGAGAGAGAGAGAGAGAGAGAGAGAGAGATTATTTTGAGGATAGTGCGCGATGAAAGTTTTTTTAACCAGATATGCAATACAACATATCATATTTGTTCTTCAAGCTAAATTAAAGATAAAATGATATTTTTACTACATTATTTGTTGATCAACGGAATATTGTGTAGTCAAATTTAGTGCAAAAACAAAATGCTATCAAATAATTGGTATGAAAAACATCAGCCAAAATACAACCAATAATTTAAGTTTGTAAACATGGTCATTATTACAATCATAGAATTTTTAAAAATGCTGGTTGTTAAAATCCATTTATTTTATGAGTATATGTACTACAATATGTATGTTCATACCAATCAGAGAAATTTGTCGAATACATAACGTGTATTAGAAATAAAGAAGGGGGTTTGGCTTTTCCCTCGGTGGCAAATTTTATTCTATAGTATTGCGAGGATTAAGCTGACTAGTTAGTATTAAAATCCTACTCTGTAACACCGGTACAATGTACAGTCAATTCTCGAATTATCGCCATTCGATTCATCGCCATTTTCGCAATACCGCCTTGATTTCCCAAGAACGTTTTTCCTGCTATATAAGATTCTCTTTATAACGCCAAATTCGCATACCGCCATCTGCCACCCTGTTTTCAAAACAAACGTCCATTTTTAAGTGTCAATTATCTCGATAATACCGCCACAGGTGGATGTAGTCAGTGAAGCGCGGTTAATTGGCGCTATCCTGTTGTAAAGCATGCAAAGCCAGTCAAGGTACTAGCAATTAAGTAAACAATAATTTTAACATGGACTGTTAAAATAATTTTGTTTTCTGTTTAATAGAATCATTTAATCAAGGCTTCGCCACGAAAGCGGTCGTTGTAAAGTACGCCGATAACAATATTATTTTGATTATCTCTGCTTTTAAAAGCAATGCAAAGTTTGCTAAAAAAAATAATTATAAGTCAGAAATTGTGAACATTTCGTTAACAATAATGTCATAAACAATGAATTTATTCAAGAACTCATTTTACATACTATAGGCAATATATCACGACGATCGACCCAGCATTGATTCAATATCAGACACGCAGATTGACATGCATACGCATGTAATTGTCTTAATTGCATAACTTATTATTTTGTTTTAGCGAAATTTACATTAAAATATTACTTGAAGTATTTTCAAATTTAGAAATATGTTTATATATACATGTACATGTAAAAATAAGAATAGAAACGCTAAATGGTATTTCTAAGAACGATAACTCTACGTCTAATTTCCTAAAAGATAGAAAATTCAATTCATCGCCAAATTCTTTTTTCCGCCATGATTTCTAAGTTACAAAAGGTGGCGGTTTATCGAGAATAAAACACAGAACTAAAATTCAAGTATAAAGTCATTAATGTAAACAAGAAAGAACGGCTGCAATCATTGCAGTAATATTTCTACAAAAACTCCCCAACGCGTAAAATGTATTTTGCAACTGCTCATCGACCCACTTTGCAACTCAGACAAGCCTATATAACAATACATCACACATTGAATGTGGAGGTTTTAACGAATTCTAATTTAAGCCATTGTAAGGCGTTGGCTTAAATTGCTTGCATTTTAAAAAAAACCCAGATAGAATCTTTTTATATGTGAAGCATAGTTATGGTTGAACTTCGCTAAAAAACAACGGAAGCCAAAAAGTGTCTTTTTTATTTACACTGAAAACTTTTGATGAGAATGCGATCAAGCATTCAAACTTGAGCGCATTATTTGAAGACGGTCATTTAAATCTATAATCATGACTCATAATGAGTTCCCAAAAAATAATATTTCAATTCAGGAATAGATACTTACAGACAACATTGTTTAACAAATCAATTTTTGAGGATAATTGATTGACTGTTGGGGATATGGTTTAATTTTTGAATTATTCAGATGTACTGAAAGTGAAATTTAAGATTAAGAATGTTAATCATACTTTAGTTCTAATAAAAGTATAGAAAAACACAAACCTATATAAACATGAGAGCTGGATTAGGTACCATGTAGGAGTAACCATCCCTTGTTGTCACATCCGCCGTTTGTTACTTTGACTAATATGACAAACAGACAAAATCCGTAGGAAATATATATCCTGAAAATATCATGGTATCAACCATTAATATTTCTCTCTTTTTTCTTAATTTTCAAATTCATTTAACTCAAAAGATGTTTCTTCATTTCAAATAAACTCTGTAGGATTCAAACACCCGAGAAGGTTTACGAGAAGTGCCATCGTTGTAGTTCTCAAAATTTTGTATCTGCTACGCGATTGAATCCATTATCAAACAAACTCAAAGGTCGTCTGTTTATGAGTATTCTTTTAAAAACTGTTTTACAGTAACTAAGGATGTTTTCAAAATAATTGTTTATGTAGTATAAATATTTTTAAAACCCTTTCCGAAACCTATAGCAGAATCAAAGTTTTAATTACATTACAATCACCACTCTCTCATCCTCCATAATACCTGAATTTTGACATCGATTTTTGTTTTTATAATATTTATTATTCTTTGTAAACATTAATTAAAAAGAATCAAATTACCTGCAAGAATTCTAAAACAATCACTAATAGCTTAAAATAAAGATAGCAGATGTAAAAAAAAAGAAACCTTGAAGACAGGCATTTACTTAATATTCTTTGTCTATCGGTAAGGCAGACTTTTAATGAATTTTCTTACGTTTTTATTCAGTCTTAAAACATACACCTTCACAATTTATTATTTTTTTTAAATTTAGAGATTGATTTAGTGTAATCTTGCATACAGTATATACAGAACCGCTATATAATTTACTTTAAAAATCAGCTGCAATTTTCAGTGTTCGACACTTGTTGGCTTCCATACTGAATATAACTAAGTAAAAGAAGTGTAAAACTACCTTCGAAGGCTAAGATTAAATTCCTGTACATAAAAATTGTGCCGAGACAGATACATATATACCTTTGGGAAATAAGTGTGAGATAATAGTAGTGTCAGATATGAATTTGGACCAAAGCTATCTAAGATCTAAAGTAACCCCCGAAGCACCGTATACGACGCTGACTAAACTATTAAAAAAGTGGGCAACTGTAGTACCAGAACAAGAAGCGTGTGTTTTGTATAACTTTGGCAAGCCAAGAACTTCTATCACCTATGAAAAACTGTACCAGGATGCAGTATTGCTGGCAAAAGAACTTTTGCAGCTTGGAATAAATAAGGGCGACGTAATAGCAATACGTGGAAACAACACTATTGATGGCTTGTGAGTACGTTTGGTGCACAGGTTGCAGGAGCATGCCCTTTACACTTCAATTTTCATGACAAATCTGGAGAGAGCATAAAAAGAAATATCAGCAAAGTCGGAGGATGTAAACTGCTACTTTTTGATCCTGGAGACAATGACGTTCACTGGGAAATATGTCAAAAATTCCTACAAGTGGATCCCAAAACTGGCGTTGTTGTCGGCTCCGATATTCCATCTGTAAAATGGGTTGTGTTACAGACACCTCTGCAATCTTCAGAGGCATGTTTTACAATAGAAGATGTTTATAGCAAGGAGAATATCAAGTTACCAGAAGTAGACCCAGATGATACGTGTGCTATTATTCTGACATCCGGGAGTACAGGGTTACCAAAGGCTGTACAATATAGTCATCACCGTATTGTTGAATCTGCATATAATCTACTGCATGCAGCTGGCTGGGATGACAAAGAAGATGGACAGCTTTCATTGTATAATGATCGGCCATTTTACTGGTTAGGGGGATACCCGAGCATAGCTTTTCTAAGAGGAGGAAAACTTATAACCCAGAAGAACACCCTTCTTTTTTCAAGTATTGCAAAAGCTATGGAATACACTTCAAGTATTATAGAGGAAACAAGGCCCAAAGTCGCCATGATTGTCGTTCCTTTCCTGATGGAACTACTGATGTCAGGAGATTTTTCTTGGAAAATTCGAACAGTTATCACAGGAGGTCAGCCTGTTCCAGCCTCTTGCTTGGCAGCCATCGGGAAAAGATACGACACGCTTTTTGTTATATACGGCTCAACAGAAGTTGGTTTTATAGCTGGAAAGCTGTATACTTCGCCTGATGACAGATACATTGGTCTATCGCCGTTACCTGGAGTGGAAATGAAAATTGTAGAGAAGGACGGAATGATGGTTCCCTTTGGATCGAAAGGAGAAGTGCTTTCACGCAGTTGTTTACCATTCCCAGGTTACATCAATGAAGCTGAAAAAACCGCGGCTGTTATTACTCCTGCTGGATGGTATAAAACAGACGATTTCGGACATATTAATTCTGCTGGTTGCCTTGAAGTATTCGGCAGAGTATCTGACGTAATGGAAATCTCTGGAGCTAAGGTTCTGCCATCCTTTCTCGAAGAAATTATTAAAAGGAATCTCAGTGTTAAGGAAGTGGTAGTCTTCTCCATAAAAGACGAAAAACACTTTGACGACATTCCTTGTGCAGCTGTTGTTAAAAAGGACGGGGTGACCTTGACTGAGGAATCCCTCAAAGATTTTATCAAACAAGAGCTCAATGTTTCCGAGGAAGCTATATTCATGGAACATATTTATGTACCGAAGTACATCGTGTTCCACGAGAAGCTACCGAAAACTTCAACTGGTAAAAGCGATAGGAAGATGACAAAGAGCGTTTCTTTACCATTCATCAAACAAGCCTAAATGAAATGTAAACGAGATCTAAAACAAGATACTAATAGCTAGGAATAACCAATGCACTAGACTTGAAAGACTCTTACAAAGCTGTACATATTTTATTGATGTAGTAATCACATACATACGCATATGGTCATGTTTCTCCCAGTTGAATCCATACGCAAGAGCATGGTATTAAAAAATTAAACCGAGACAAACTACTTACAAAGAGGTTGATGTTACAGTGTGTTCCACAACCTTTCTATAAGTAGTACTACGAAAGATCTACGATCTTTGAAATGTAAATAATTCTGGGTAGTATTTTATCTGACATATTTCATACTAATTGCCACGTGTTAGTTTGTATACTATTTTATTGCATACTTAATAATAAATACAGGATTTTTGCATATGCGATATGTCTGGCGTCACAATATGACGTTCTTTGCTGATATGGATTTGTGGGGCTGATACGGATCAATATCACACCCCTAGTACATTAAAACTTAAAAAAAGAAACAGTAGTTGTGATCATACACATATTTTAGGGGTACATATTTTCCTAATTTTAACTTTTAGAATGTAAGGATAATCTACTTGACAAATAAAAGATATTTTCAAATTACACATTTGAAATAGAAGTAGAGACAAACCCAAACCATATAAGACAATAGACCGTGTACATGTATGTAAGAAGTCCGTGCATGATTATTTCTTATTTTCTTCTCAACGTAATGTGTACTGTATTTATACTAAGTATGTAATAAACATAATACAACATACCCTTTTCTACATCATATCCTGTATCAGCCCTCGGGCCTTTGGCCCTCTGGCTGATATTGGTGTCTCGGGCTGATACAAGGTGTGATATGGAAAAGGGTATATATTATTCTCTCTATATAGCTACTCATATGAAGTATTTAATACATATTTTATTTTTCATATTTATAAATAAATTGTTGGCAAAAGCTTTTAAAATAAACCGTTTTAAGTTTGAAATCACAAATTTCATCAATTTCAATAACATCAACACTTTTAAACACTTATCACAATCATTCCCCACCAAATATAAATAAAAGTTCGGGCTCTTCGACGTCATAGACAGGTTATTTTTCAATAAAACGGGAACTTGCATTATCATTGGTGATTTGCAGTTAAAAAAAAAAATTCTGATTTTTTACAAAAATTCTCAAAATTTATCATTTAAAATTGCTGGAATTTGTGATTTACCAATAATTATACTGGTAGATATGGAGATTTAATCACAAATAGCTTATTGTTATATTAGAATAAAAAATAAACAACTTCCAAGAAAATTTGAAATTTCCATATTAGGTCATCTGAATTAATTCAGGTGACCTATTTCTATCTGATTCGTCCCTCGTTGTGCATCGTCCTTCGTACATCATTTTCTTTACTTCTGGATATCAAGCAGCGACTCTGTTGGCTTGATTGTAATAAGCATTGACCCCTGTCCCAAAATTTGTGAAATCATTGCCCCAGGGTCAGGAATTGTGGCTAAAATATGAAGCCCACTTTTCTTAGTACATGTACAGTATATAACCAAATTGTCTTGAACTTGTTCCGTTCAGAGTTGCTTATCTGACAGGAAAGGACGATAAACGGTCAAAATGTACTACATGGTATTTGCACTTTTCCTCGTTCTTTATGTTGTATATAAGGTTTATGAGTATTACAAAGGAAAAATGTCTGTTGACAACATAAATAAACGTTACGTCCTCATAACGGAAATGCTGTAGCCCGTTCACTGGATAAGAAGGGAAAACAAGTAAAGAATTATTCTTTTGTCTGTTTAAAAGATTCCTTGGATGGGATACCACAGACTCAATATGATGATCTTTCCCTGATGACAAGCGCCATTTACCACGCGCTGTTTTCCGTGATGCAAAAGAGGCGTTACAGATGTGGACCTGACTGTAAATATTTTTTCTCTCTGTTACCGCAATGGTTCAACACGTGGTACTTTTTCAAGATGAGATAATTGTATAATTTTTTGTTATCATTGGCATGCATTTTAATTTTCACAATCCATAGCATATAAACATTATTTAAAGTACATATATTTACATATATATTTACACGTATGCATTCACAAAATCCAAAAAGAAACAAAATATATTTCTGATTGTTGAATTTATGGAAACGGGAAACACAGAGAGAGAGAGAGAGAGAGAGAGAGAGAGAGAGAGAGAGAGAGAGAGAGAGAGAGAGAGAGAGAGAGAGAGAGAGAGAGAGAGAGAGAGAGAGAGAGAGAGAGAGAGAGAGAGAGAGAGAGAGAGAGAGAGAGAGAGTATTATTGTAGAATATAGTGTTCGATGAAAGTTTATTAGTTTTGAAGTACAAAGATATGTTCTTCCAGCTAAATTAAAGATAAATGATATTTCTATTACATTTTTAGGTCACCTGAGTAAACTCCGTCGTTCGTCGTGCGTTAACATTTGAACATTTTCAGCTTCTTCTCTGAAACCACAGAACCATTTTCAACCAATTTTGGCATAGAGCGTTTAATAGCAAAGGGAAACAAAAATTGTGAATTTCATGGTTCCTGCCCCCCCTTGGGCCTGGGGGTTGGGCAAAAACCACTAAAATTAGTGCAATCTTTAAAACTCTTCTTCTTTACTCCTGGACATCAAGCAGTCAAACTGTTGGTATGATTGTAATTAGCATTGAGTCCTCAACCAAATATGTGAAATTCATGGCCCCAGGGTCAGGGGTTCTAGTGCTAGGGTGGGGCTAGTTTGGTTATATAGTGAAAATGCATTATTTCTTTGAAATTTTTCTTTTCTGCTCCTTGGCATTAAATAAACTAACCAAGTGCATAGTTGAGTTGAAAATGACTGCCTCTTCCAAAATTGTGAATTTCATAGCCCCAGGGTCAGGGGTTCTAGCGCTAGGGTGGGGCTATATAGATTATATAATAGTGAAAATGCATAAATTCTTTGAAATTCCTCTTCTCTGTTCTCGGGCATCAACTAACCAAGTGCATATTTATGTTGAATAAGGCTGCCTCTTCAAAAATTGTGAATCTAATGGGCGGGGCTATATTGATTATACATGTATAGTGAAAATGCATAAATTCTTTGAAATTCTTCTTCTCTCTTCGTAGGCATTAAATAAACTAACCAAGTACATAGCTATTTTGAATAAGGATGCCTCTTCCAAAATTGTGAATTTCATGGCGCCTGGATTTGGGGTCCTGGTGTTAAGGTGGGGCTTTATTGATTGAAAATGCATCAATTCTTTTAAAATCTTCTTTTCTGCTCCTGGTCATTAAACCAATGAACTTTGCACATAGTTATGAGGAGGAAGGATGCCTCTTTGAGATTTGTGAATTTCAGGGACCCTGGGTCAGGACTTCTTGTGTTAGGGCGGGGCTCTAATGATTATATAGTAAAGATGCATGAATTCTTCGAAAATCTTTTCCTTTGCTCCTGGGTATTAAGCCAATGATCTTACTATATATTTATGACGAAGAAAGCTGCTTCTTCCAAAATGGTTAATTTCTGAGCCCCTGGGACAGAGGTACTTGGTGTGTGTGTGTGTGGAGGGGGGGGGGTACATAGTCTTAAAATAATTTAATTCTTTGAAATCTGCACTTTGGTATTAATCAACAACATGATGAAATAAAATTTATAAAATTTCCAAAATTTTGAAAGAAGTTGCACAGGGTCAGCGTTTCCTGTTGGATGGGGTGCACAACTGATAAAGGGGATTAAGAAACCAAAGTAAGCATGCTAAGTGTATAGTTATGATAAGCAATGGTGCCTCTTTCAAAACTATGAATTTCATAGCCTCTGGTTTAAAACAGTTGGAAAGTTGTTACATGATACTCAGGTGACCTATAAGGTCCATGGGCCTCTTGTTTGTTGATTTAACGGAATATTTTGTATTCAAATTTAGTACAAGAACAAAAACCTATCAATTGGTATGAAAAACATCAGCCAAAATACAGCCAATAAAATGTGTTTGTCAACATGATCATTATTCCAACCACAGAATTTAAAAAAATGCTGACTTTAAATGCGGTTGCTGAAATCCATGTAGTATATGAGTATATGTTCTCCAAACCAATCAAAGAAAGTCGGATACATAACATGTATTAGAAATAAAGAGGGGGATTTTGGCTTTTCCCTCGAGGGAAATCTAGGTTATTGCGAGGGGAAAGCTGACTATTGGAAAAATCCTACTCTGTAACACCGGTACATGTCTAAACGGTTCACAAAATATAAATAGGGCATTTACTCTGCGTTTTAATATCTTCTTTTTTTCCATTGCATATCTTACGATCTACATATATCTAAAGCATTTTAAAAGAAACAAAAAAGAAACAAGAAAGAAAAGATGTACATATCGATTGTATTCTATATTTTCGCACATCCATTCTCCTCATGTGAATAATAAAACACGGAACAAAAATTCAATAATAAAACCATTAACATAAACACGAAAAAACTGCTGCAATGATTGCAGTAAAATTTCTGCAACTGCTCTTCGACCTACTTTACAACTCAGACACATCACACATTAAATCTGGAGGTCGTATCAAATTTTAATTTTAGCCACTGTAAGGCGTCTGTTTAAAATTGCTTGCATTTGAAAAAATATATTACAGAATCATGTTATATATGTGTAGCATAGTTATGATTCACTAAAAAAACAACGGGAGCCAAAAAAGTGTCTTTTTTATTTACTCTTAAAACTGTTGACGAGAATGCGATCAAGCATTCAAAACTTGAGTATATTATTTGAAGACAGTCATTCAAATCTATAATTATGTCTCATTAAAAGTTCCCAAAAAATAGTTTAAGTTACCAGTTTTGAGGTCAATTGATTGACTGTTGAGGATATAGTTTAGTTTTTGGATTATTCAAATGAATTGAATGTGAAATTTGTAGATAAAGAATGTAAGTCAAGCTCAATTGCCTATTGAAAGGATAGAAAAACACAAACCTCTATAAACATACGAGCTGGATTAGGTACCATGGAGGAGTAAACATCCCTTGTTGACCAGTCACATCCGCCGTGTGTTCCTTCCCTAATATGACAAACAGAAAAAATCTGTAGAAAATTCAGTGAAATAATGGCTTAGCGATCTGTGTGAAAAATGTCGGTGAACATTCGACTTAATGATGGATT